GAGCCAAATCTGACTCCTTAACCTCAACAGAGCTCCTGTTCACAATGGCCAGGATGGGCTTCCTGGATTCTCACCCCCATGCTTGCCCGCCAAAACTGCTGTTGCATCTCCACCCCCAGCCAGACTTGGGCTCTACAGACACACCTTGCGGAAGCCTTCCAGGACCTCCTTCATCTTCTCGTATCTCCTGAAAAGGTCAGCCAAAGACTTTTCCACAGAGTTCAGGTCAGCCAGGGCTTGCTCCTTCTCTAGGACCAGCTGCTGCACAGTTTGGTGGGAGACCGATTTCTCTCTCTGTTCATCCTCTTACAGAAGTCAGACAATGGGGCCCATTCAATCCAAACTAGGTCTGCTCAAGTGCAACGTGAGTGGTCCTTGGAATGAACCCACGAGCCCTCCCTCCCAGAGGGTTCCAACGGGACAGGTCTGTGATAGGACCTGATACCATGGACTTGAGGCCATGACATATTATGTGGGGTAGAAGTCAGTCTTTAACCTGATCAGTGCAGCCCCTAGCACATCTATAACTGGAGACTCTGTGAGTCTACTTTTCCTCCACTAAGTAGATCCACACTAGGTCAAAAGAAAAACATTACTGCTGTATTTTCTGGAAGATGAGATTGCAGGTGCTGTGGTGGGCCCTAGGGTTAACCCTTCCTAAATAGTATCAAGACAGAAGTCACTGGGAGAAAGAGGTTTCTCTGTCCCTAAAACACCCCCAAGGACTGAAAATCTGTTATTACAACACTGAATTCTTGGCTATAGAAAGTACCACAATCTAGGCAAACTGAGACAGTATTTGCAAAGTTCATTTCTCAGCAAGGCAGCATGGTTCTACTTGTACTGGTACTAGCCTGAGCAACAGCTCTGCTCTCACCCATCTCTCTGCCCTCAGACATTCCATAGTGACCTCAAATGTCTCTACACTATAGCTTCCAATCTGTGTACCAGCCTCTACCCTGGGTGCAGATGGAATAGGCAAAGCACACCTCACTTTCCTGGTGACAGCAGACTTTATGACATCCCCTAGCTCTCATCCCCAGCACCAAGAACTCCTGGGGGGAAAACAAGTGGCCCAGCAGACCTTTGTCACTCCCAGGCTACCTAGGAAGGTGCTGACTTCGAGCTGGCTGCTATGGGGAAATTACATCTGGAACTAACAGTGACAGCAGTGGCAGCTGGCAGCCTCAACTGCAAACTGCAAACAAGGCTATCTCACTCAGAGTCTGCCTGTAGAGACCTCCCCTTGTATTGAGAATAAAATCTAGGCTGCACCCCACACATATATATGCTCCAGCTCTGACAGCCCCACTACTGCAGATAGCTCCTGTCCCAGAGCTCAGGAGCCCTTGGAAACCCCCAAGGCTCCCCCATTCACTGCCTCTGATTCTTCATCACTTCCTTTCTGTTTGTCACATGAGAATACATGCCTGTGTGGTTGGAGCAGCTGTGCTGGTTCTGTTATATTCTAACTTTCCCTGACCCAGACCCAGGACATAGGGCTTCCTGCTGCTTCTTATGATGGTAATTTTGTCAGGCTGGTCAGACTGAGAAATGCATAGATTAGCATAGCATATGTTGGATGTGCCCTTGAATGCATCCGAAGGACACTTGATCACTAGGACTGTGACCTTGTGAACACATTCATGATGTGATGGTGTTACCAAGGGATGGCAGAAAGCAGGAGGTGGGGCAAGGCTGGAGGAAGTGGGTCACTGGGGCCAAGTCCTTGGGGCTGGTCTTGCCCTGGCTTCTTTATTCCTGTATCTCTCTTCTCTGCTTCCTGTCTGTCAAAATCTGAACTGCATGCCCTCACCACTATGATGCATGCATGGGTTGTTTCTGAAACTGTTAGGCAAACATCAAAATCTTCCCTTCAGTTGAGCTTGTCAGGTGTTTGGGAAAAGTAATGACAAAAGTAACACAGTCCCTAAAAGTAACCTGGCCACTCTCCTCAAGGGCTGATAGTGGGTCTGTTTGGTTCACTGCTCTGGGCACACAAAACACCTCCATACAAGTGATGCTGCCATGTGATCAGTGCACAAACAAGAGTGGCTACACAGTGACCCATAGAGTTTTCTTGTCCCCATTTTATAGAAGGTAAAAGAGGGTTTGAACAGCAAAGTCATTTGTTCACTGAGGAGCAGCATAGCCCAGGCTCAGATTTAAAGACAAAAGGCAATCATGACTAAATTTCACCTGAGCCTCCTGTAACAATTGACCTGGACTATCCCCTCCTGCAATAATGGACCTGGACTGTCCCCTCCGGCAATGATAGACTTAGACGGTTCCTACCAGGAGTCAGATTTGGGTTATTTTCCCTCCCGTTTCTAACAGACCAGCATCTTGCTATGTCATAAGTTTGGCATAGTACTGCTGTGGGGCATGGTGGGGTCACAGCCTGAATTTTAACTCTAAGCCTGACAGAAACATGTTGAAAAACCCTGCTGGTTTGTGGTTCCAAAGCCCTGTGTACAAATCAAGGTGGTTATCAGATGTGAGTATGCATTAAAACCAAATTCAGGGCCATTCACATAGACATGCCTGCCCATCCTGCTTCTGGACTCAGCAGGTCAGAGTGGGGCTGGGAATCTGCACAAGTAACAGATTCAGATGTAGCTGGCCCAGGGCCCTGCCTGAAAAACCACTGGCCTAGGAGATGCCTAATCTCCCTCCATCCCACCTCTCTGAGCCCAGGGTTCTTAGTATTCTCAGCAGTAGCCAAAAGCCACCAAGGGCAGTGGCTCTGGAATCTAACAGCCCAGTTGAATTTCTCTGCTGTGTGACATTGGGTGGGGTTTTCAAACTCACTGAGTCTCCTCCCCAGAACCAGGGGTGGCAGTGTTTCTAGGCCACAGCATTTGGGGAGATTAAAAAAGGGAATGAATACAAAGGTCTTGGCACCCAGGAACTATCTGGAATCAGTGACCTGTTATCAATAGCATCACTGTCCCTAGAAACTCTTCACATCACCGCTGACTCGGTGGAATGGTATGTCATAATGACCCAGAAGCACTGCCTTTTAAATACAGAGAACTTTCTAACACAAATATTCTACTTGCCACATCTACACTCCTAAAAGAGAGGGCATTTGCAAGTTCCACTAGTTTTTATTACTGAGATTTTAGCCGTTTCCTTTATTCTCAGCATGCGATACAATGTACATTCTGAGCTGATTTGTGGTCATGTATACATTTCACCAGACAGGCTGAAGGAGCCATTTATCAAACAGAGTCTGTCTGATTTCCTGCATCTAAGATGTCGCCTAGCCTAGGCTTTCCTTTTGTCACTTTTAAAAATAGAATTGACCAGGTCCCAGGAGAGCCAGGCCACAGCAACGCAGCACAAATATTCTATGTGACCAATGAAGTCAGGCTCTTAAAGTCAGGAAATCAGCACCAGTCCAAAGCACGCTGCACTTGCAACCTCGATAGGTTTCCTGGTGTTTGCAGGCAAACCACTATTAAATCGTATGAGAAATGCAGCAAGTACACAAAAGCAAAAATAACCAAGCCAGAAAAACAAAACACAAAAGGTCGCAATGGGTAGGGATCAGATGGGGTGGGGGGGG